CAGCTGAGCCATTTCGAATCAGTCAGTGGTGATGTTGCTGGAGCGAAAGGCCCTGGAGCTATCGTTCCCACCACTGGACCATGACTGACTGCAGGATTACCTGGTGATAGGAAAGAAGCTTGCAGTAAAGACCGCACGGCCATATCAGTGAGCCTATTATCCCGCAAGTCTAAGTAGCGAACTCTCAGGCCGATAGCATTGGCTAAGAACTCCGCGTCGCTATCTCTTAACCCAATGCCGCGTAGTTTCAAGACCTGGAGATGCTCCAGTTGAGATAAAGCAGATAGAACACTACAGTCTCGAGCTGGAGTGGTATAAGACAGATCAAGATATATAAGTTCCTGAAAACGCAATAGTGCCTCTGCAAGCCCCTGAGAGGTTGTATTAGGTTCGTGGTCCGCCAACAGCAGACGAACGTTGTATGAATGAGGGACTGCTTCGTTGACCAGTTCTTGGTTCGTATTATTTCTTAAGGCTATCATGGAATTATGGTCAAAGAAGGGCAATTTAGAGACAATCAGAGACTGAAGGCATGGTAAATATTCGAGAATCTCCCTCAGCCATTCCGGTCGCGGACCTCCGTATATTTCTGAAAGAGCAGGAGGAAGATGAAGTGTATGTGTTAGCATCCGCACCTCCAACCTGGCATACACTAGGGTTCTCCTAAACCTTGTTAAGGCGACTACAATGCAGGTATCTTGTCAGCTCAGATCACGAAAGGTGTGCCCAGTGGGATTACCATAAACGGCATCATTATCAGTCCCAAAATGGGATGCAGGATCACCCCACAAGAACGGCATAAAAAGTGCATGCCATTTCCGACAGACTAATGTAGCAGCGCATAGGTCGCTAGATGGGATATACGTAGCAATAAAGGACCACGCATCTCTGGTCGTTGCGGACTGGTAAGATGGGGGCACAAGATCCATCTTCTTACCGCTTGCTGAGTGATAATGCTAGGCTTGGGCTAAGACAGCATCGCAACAATAGGATCTTAAATCCAGAAATGTCTCTGTCAAAATCCGAAAGAGATGTCGATATAAAACTTGTCAGGTGCACCACATATGGCTTCAGGAAGCCAAGAAAAACCGGCCCCCATGATCACCCACAAGGAATGGCCTAGCACTGCCACTTTTTCGTAATGGGGCGCAGAAATCATAAGATATAAGCTTCTTCGTCCACTAGTTGATCAAACAAAGATAACGAGAATATGTAGATATGAAAGTCTACATAGTACACTTCAACCTATACTATTGTTTGAAGAATATCACCGCCATGAGACGATCCTTGGGCCAAGGATGGAGTACGTAGTATCTACCCACCTACGGAGTAGTGTACGGAGTATTGCTATTCGTGCTCAGTACGGTAATTTACGTCAATCAAGACTCCAGACCTGTAAATAGATTACGCCCAGCGTATGGATCTCCCCTGACGTCATTTCTCCTATCAGAAAAATAAAAATAAGGAACAAGATTCTCTCATCTGAGCATCGAACCAATTTATATTCAATAGGCTTCACCAACAACACTCCCAAGCTTGGTTTGCGATTGGCCAAAATGAACACCTGGCAGCGAAATGTTCGTATGCTACATCATATAAGCGAGATACTGGACCTCGACTCCGCCAAATCAGATACAGTTGCCGAGCTCATCGAGCTCATTGAAGCAATGCGAGAAGGTCTTACTCAAGTTAACGAAGAATGCCGGATCGCAGACTCTCAAATTAATATTCTATTTCTAAACAAGCTGAAGTTACGACCAGAGTGGAAGAGCTGGGCGACGGATATGCTTCGTAATAGTCGATTGGACTCTTCAAACCCGACAGACAAGATGACGTTCCAAGAGCTTTCAGAGTTGGCTATGAGACATGAAAAGGTCATGAAGGGGAAGAAGCGAAATATCCAACATTCGCGGAGTAAAAGCACGCCTCATTCTTCTCTTGATGTACCATCGTCTCGAAAACTTACGCAGGAGGAAATAAACGCATTCGTTGTTCAGCAGATGAAACAAGATAAAAAGGCACCACGACATAATGAAACCGTTCGGCAGCACAGCAAAAAACCCAGTCAAGAGGAGATTAATCACTATGTTGCCCAGCAGATGCGTCGGGAACAAGAGCGCAAAACGAGGATGAGAAGCCACAGTCAGCCGGAGCCGAGAGCGCAAACAACCCATGTGCGATCAGCGCCCACGCGCTGTACTTTCTGTGGTGACTCGTCTCACCGGTACAACAATTGCTGGCGTCGCTTCAGGGTGGCTGTTGAGGTACCACATGGTAACTTCGCGCCGAAGCGTGTCGAATTTAGGACAGAAGTTCCAGGCCAACCCCCTATGTATCGGTCTGGATTCAGTCTTGTTTAGGGCCGTTTCTTATGCCCCCTCCGTAAGTTCGGCGATGACGAGGACATAGATCCGATATTACGGTTGAATACGGTTACACGATCTACGGCTTCCCTTCATCTTCTCGTGGAAAATATCAATCTCGGCTGTGGCAACATTCAGCTACAGATGAATATCCAACTGGGTGTTCCAAGAACACAAATATAACATACAGTATCTGCTTTCACAGTTGACCTTTCACCAAAAGGTGGTTTGCATGTTCCAGTCTTCACTTAAGGCATACCTGTCGGTCTGTGATGAGCGATGGTTGGGAACCCTAGCTGGCGGCCCATTAGTTCCTTGAAAGTCGGGTCTCTTCGCAAAGTAGCCTCTACGACTGGCCCGTCGCCCTCCAGCTCCAGCTCCATCTTCCGCAGTCTCGCTTGGATTGCCACACAAGCGTCGGCCCACGCGCAAACCGTACCCGATAGTCCCTCATGCAGGGAGAACGGGCGGTCAGGCATACGATAAATGTTCTCGGGCGAGTTGCTGTAAGGCGGCGTCTCCCGCGCATGCAATAGCAGTGTTAGCGCTCGAGACAGAAAATAGTCGCTTGAGAGATTGTCTTCTAGGCGTTTAGTCTCGATCGCCTCGGTTCGCTTTATGTAGTTGCGCTTCGCTGTCTGCATCATTTCCACATCGTACTCGAAGCTGTCGTGCATCAGTAACAATGGCAGTGCATTTCCAGCAATGCCATGGCATAGGCTGCCACCCTTCGATAGCAGCCCTTCTCTCCAGATGCTTTCAGCTGCTAAATGAATGGCTTCATCCCATTCGGGTTCCCAGTACTCAGTGACCAACGAGCTTCTTCTTGCACATGCCATAAGAACCAACAATCCAGGGCTACCATGGCATAGCTGGACAAGTGGAGATGAATGGCGTGAAGATGGAGGAATGCGGGTAGGAAGGTGTCCGTTATTAGCAATACATATCTTGCATAAACCCGTGATAGTGCCCGCTATCCAAGGGAAATATTTGCGCGAAGCGTCATCATTGACCTCCCCGGCATGACAAGCAAGGATGATCGCAAGAACACCGGCTACGAAGTATTAGCTCGGAAAAGCCTTGCTGGAAACTTGCTTTTCTCTATGTACATACCGATACCATGAACACTTGAACTCTCAGTTAGTATGCGGAATCTTGTAGATTTTCTCGGGGGTTGACACTCACGCTCCTAAATAAAATCGGCCTTCTTTCCACGACCACATCAAGGGCAGCGCATCCTTCTCTCCGTGTATTTTGATGTAATCCTTCTGTCCTTGCCTCCCGGCGTCGACTATCACGTCAACGAGGTTAGGTAGAGCATTGAAAACAGGCTGTAGGCGCTTCCTTGTGTTCTCATCGAAGTGCAGGACCCGGAGATTAAGGATGGACCACAGTAATCCAGGTCGACCGTAAATAAGTTCATCGCCTCCCATCATTTTATCTCCCTGAGGTACTATGGGTCCATTTTGGATTGCTAGTTTAACCGCATCTTCAAGAGAAGTAATGTCAGCATCAGAGATGACACTACCATCTGTAGCTGCTGCTAAGATACGCATCAGAGCTCCTGTTACTGGGGAAAACGAGCCCAAAGGCGACAGCCAGCCTGGTTTCAGAAGCAAGTCCGGACCATGCGACACTATTCGCTCCCTCGCTAGTTTACTGAAGTCGATAGGAGCCTTGCCTGGCTCTGTCAATGATAAAGCTTGACGCTCAAGCCGCAGGAATGCAAGAGCGATCCCTGAAATACAGTCAGTGAGATAGGCAACGTTGATACTGTAGAGACTTATAAGGCATCCTATGCATATATGCTTGATGTTGTCGGTTTTGGAATGGGGGAGTCTACAATACCTGCTACTCCCAAGTACAAGCCGGCACTACCCCACTCCGCTGAAGGAGGGCAGCCTTGTTGCACCAAATGAGTTCCATGGTCAACAGCTTCACGGAGTTCATGGAGGGCCTCCTGCAAATTCTCGTTGTTTATCTGGAGTGGTTCCAACGTGTTTGGATAATACTGAGGGGCACTCATGATGGCGGCAAGTGGTTTGTTCAACCAAAGTTGTGGAAAGAAGTTTAGGGTACGAGAATACTCGCCTATGTGAGTTTGGTTGGTTTACGAATATGGGAAAGATTGTCCAGTGAGTGAAATGGGCCTTTTGCACAGGTAATCTTTCAGCTGTTAATGCCTTACGACTACTTATGCGTGTTGGATGTTAAGCGACAGTGGTAGGTGGTGAGCTGTCCAAAATATATTGTAAAGTGGAGAAGAGGTGAACTTTTGTTTGTATTTGGACTGACTATCTCGCAAGATCAGATGAATTATGGTGATATATCATGACATGGACGAGGCTCTGCATCGCAAGGAGTATATATATCAATTGAATCGGTTTTTTTAATATCGTTTGCGATACCATGAAATTGCCGGTAGTTTGTCGGTAGTTCAGCGAGAATTCATGGATACTCCCAGGAACTCTGGCGGGGATGATTGAACTTAACCCCAATAGGAAATCAACACCTGAGGCTTCAATATGGTCTAATAGGGATAGTATTACCGTCCCCGGATCAACCATAAACCCGCCAGCGGGACGACGTTTTCTCTGCTGCGTTCACATCATTCCGGACTCTAGAATACTCGGCGGTCCTCGAAGTGCCCCTCGGGGACAATCAAGTATTAAAGGAGAAACGTTGTTTCCGACTCTTCCCTCAGAAAGTCAGTGCTTCTAGACCCTGTTCTGGTAATGTCCCTGCCACGGTTTTTCCTATCTGGGTCCCTCCTGTATCTTGCTTGATTCGTAGTCTCTGTGATGGCATTCTTGCTATGTCTGCCCCGCCTGGTCTATTATCCCAGCGCTTCACACTTGTCATATACCGATTCGCAGCTTGCAATCCCATCGGATTAAATGAATGTTTTGATATTTGCTCAATCAACTAATAATGGTAAACAGTCCCGTGACCGGCTCGGCCGGCCCAAGGTTTCAACATGCCTGCTGTACATGGGGATTTAGCGTCTATGGTGATGCCTACAGACCAGGAGCTGCTACCGGAGATCTACCCTCGGCAGGTTACCCTTCGCGATCGCGTTACGGTCGCGACCCTGGTGCCCTTTCTGTCGCCCGATGATGTGCCCCCGTCTCTGTTGGGCTACCTATCAGACCAATTAAATAGTGAAATCGAAAAGGGCGACACCTATGCTATGATTGACCCTATTCCGTACGATGAATTTAAGCACTATTGGTTCTCTCACTTCGGTGCTATCATGCTCCTCGGGGATATCAAGAATACCCAGGATGTCAAACTCCTGGACAGAACGGGGGCAGCAAATTGGCCCAAGCTCTGTCTGGGCAGCTTTACCGTCAGACCCAACTACCCTGGCCGTAGTAGTCATATCTGCAATAGCATGTTCCTTGTCACCGATGCCTCTCGGAATCGAGGTGTTGGCCGACTGATGGGGGAAGGATACCTAGAGTGGGCTCCAAAACTGGTCAGTACCAATCGCACTGATGAATTGTTTCGTGAACGCTCTTTTAGCCCAGTGGGTTATCGTTATGTGATAGGTCGCGGACGTCTCCGAAGTCTCACATATCTGACAATCTGCAGGGGTATACATATGCCATGTTCAACATAGTCTATGAGAGTAATGTTGCTTCTTGTCGTCTTTGGGACTCTCTAGGGTTCAAACGGATCGGAAGAATACCAGGAGGTGGTAGACTCGCCTCCAATCCCGGACAATACGTTGATGCGATCATTTATGGCCGGGACTTGGGGCCCGAGGGTGAGGACTCTGTTACCCAGGATCGCTTTGACAAGATCCGGTATTATCTGAAGCATTCAAAGTACCCTAGGGGCGCTGACAGGGCCGAGAAGAGCCGGCTTAGAAGTGCAGCAACCCACTATAAACTAGTTGGGGGGCAAGACGGCGAAGCCGAGAAGCTGATGCTGAAAGATAAAGAGGTAGTGTCGGATCCACAACAGCAATACGATATCGCTCGGGAGATGCATGTTCAGCAGCATGCTGGCATCAATAAGACTACAGCAGCCATTGCAGTCAAGTACCATTGGGTCCGGATCAAGGAAACTGTAAGCAGGGTCATCCGAGACTGTCCTCAGTGCAAGGAGACACTCAAATCGCCCTTGGCCAACGGGCTCTTCATGAATGAAGATATGCCAGAAGAGGAGGATCAAACGAGCAGTCGCGAGAGCGAGCCTAGTATGCCTACCAGCGAGAACATGGGAGCAAACCCGCTCATGGACCATGTATCTCTGGATGCCCATCAAAGCCAGAATCCTTTTGTCACCACCCACCCATCCGTTGTTCCAGGATCAGTAGATTCTATCAGCGATTATGTCATGCCTCTTGACCCCCAAATCATTGATATTCACCAGCAACTTCCCAGATTCCAAACTCATGATGCTATGACCGACCCATACACGCACGGCCCGCATGGCTTGTCTAGCTCGCATTTTGATGATGATGTGCGGCATCATGCAGCTAGTGATTACCATATGATGGTTGATGACCCATCTGATCCAGACCCTGGATCGGCACTCCATCAGGATGCACTTGGGCTAGTGCATTCACAAGTTAGCGATGTGCATCACCACGAACAGATACTGGCCAAGTATCAGTATGTAGGGCAGACGGATGATGACTTGGACTTTACGTGATATGCTGTATGTTCGCACCTTCTCTCTCAGTTTTCCAGCCCACTTCTATCGGGTCTGATTTGATTTTCTCCTTTTATATTTTTCTTTTTGGGGCATTATCTTTCTGTATGGCATTTCTTGACGGCGTTCAATGCAAGTTGGGCTTGCATCAATCATTATGGATCATCGGATAACTACGGCTGTGGAGATCTGTATTACTAGCAGTATGATAGAAGGTGACGTGAAGATCATAATAAATGATAAGTAATAGGTCGATAATAGGTTCTTTAAACAGGTTGATATAGGATGTATACAAGTCTGATTAGTATAAATTATTTGAGGGGTTGTAGGGTTGCGGAGACGCGGTATGATTGGTCACCGCCTCAGTGCTTTGGCGACATCGAGAAGCTCGGGGAAATTTTGGTCAAGAGCATTATTGAATCCCCCCCCGAGCTGGTAACTTTCAGGGCCACTTTCCATCTCCCGTGTGTCTCTTATTCTCTACCGGTCTTTACCAACCCTATTTATCGGTTCTTTTTCGAAATAAATTAATCAAAATGGCCTTCGCTGGCCAGGCACCCACTATCATTGTGCTTAAGGAGGGTCCGTTTCTTGCCCGCATTCTGAACCCCCTCCACTGTGTGTCCGACGTGTTTTGTTCGCTGACTTTTCCACGATTCTTAATTGCTTAGGCACGGATGCCTCTCAGGGAAAGGGTCAGATCATTTCTAATATCAATGCCTGTGTTGCCGTGCAATCTACCATCAAGAGCACTCTCGGTCCGTATGGAGGGGACTTGTTGCTTGTCGACGGCAACGGCAAGCAAACCATCACGAATGATGGAGCTACAGTAATGAAAGTGTGTTCGACTTGAGTTCAATAGACTAACTTCCATCGATGGTGTAATACTAATACGTGACGAACCTAGCTCCTGGATATCGTGCACCCCGCCGCCCGCATTCTCACGGATATTGCCCGGTCCCAAGATGCCGAAGTAGGAGATGGAACGACATCGGTCGTTGTTCTTGCCGGTGAGATACTCAAGGAGGTTCGTGAACTGGTTGAGCAAGGTGTGAGCGCACAGACGATCATTAAGGGTCTACGGAGGGGAAGTGCTATGGCCGTCAACAAGGTGAAAGAAATCGCAGTCGACATGATCGAGGCTGCCGGAAGCGAGGAGAAGAAGGTCGAAACTCTAAGACGATTGGCCGGAACCGCCATGAACAGCAAGCTCATCAAGCGCAACTCGGATTTCTTCACCAAGAGTAAGGGCTCCTGTGTGACTGGACGGAAGCGGGTACTGACTGTGTATAGTGGTGGTGGATGCTGTGCTCTCACTCGACCAGGATGATCTTAACGAAAAATTGATTGGTGTCAAGAGAGTCACTGGTGGTGGTCTGCAAGATTCCCTCTTCATCAACGGTGTTGCCTTCAAGAAGACCTTCTCTTATGCCGGTTTCGAACAGCAGCCGAAGTACTTCAAGGACCCCAAGATTGTTTGCTTGAACGTCGAGCTGGAGTTGAAGAGCGAGAAGGACAACGCCGAGGTGCGTGTCGAGCAGGTGTCTGAATACCAGGCCATCGTCGATGCGGAATGGCAGATCATCTACAACAAGCTGGAGGCTATCTACAAAACAGGGGCCAAGGTTGTTCTTAGCAAGTTACCTATCGGTGATTTGGCTACGCAGTACGTATTTGCTGTGATGCGCCTGCTGTTGCTAGTCTATCTAACGGTGATCCCAGGTATTTCGCTGACCGTGACATCTTCTGTGCCGGTCGTGTTGCGTCGGATGATATGGACCGGGTGTGCCAGGCGACCGGAGCAGCCACACAGTCGACATGCAGCGACATCCAAGAGCGTCACTTGGGTACTTGCGGCATTTTTGAGGAGCGCCAGATCGGCGGCGAACGCTACAACCTGTTCTCGGAGTGCCCTGCCGCCAAGACGTGTACGCTCGTGCTGCGCGGTGGTGCGGAGCAGTTCATTGCCGAAGTTGAGCGGAGTCTGCACGACGCCATCATGATTGTCAAGCGTGCTCTTCGGAACACGACCATTGTCGCAGGTGGTGGTGCTACCGAGATGGAGTTGTCGAGCTACATGCACGGCTTCGCCGACCGCAACGTGCCTCACAAGCAGCAGGCAGTTGTCAAGGCATTCGCCAAGGCCCTAGAGGTGATTCCTCGTCAGCTCTGCGACAATGCCGGCTTCGATGCGACTGACATCCTGAACCGTTTGCGCGTGGAGCACCGCAAGGGTAACGTCTGGGCCGGTGTTGACTTCGATAACGAGGGAGTCCGTGATAATATGGTGGCATTCGTGTGGGAGCCTAGTCTAGTCAAGGTCAACGCCATCCAAGCCGCCGTGGAGGCAGCTTGCTTGATTCTGAGTGTCGATGAGACTATCAGTGAGTACCCACCGTTCTCGCCTAATCCTCTATGCCTTTTGCTTTGTTTGTTGAATCTCTATTGGCTGACACGAAACGCGTTACAGAGAACGAGGAGTCTGCCCAGCCCCAGGCACCTGGCCGTGGACTTCCCCCGGGTGCTGCCCAAAGGGCTCTTGGTGGAGGAAGAGGACGCGGCATGCCCCGGCGGGGTCGGTAAATTTAATGCGTGAGAGGAAGGATGCGATGTGGTTTGTGATGATGTTAGAGAACAAAAGCCATGCAATAGTTAGAATCGCAGCCCCGTACTTTTATTTGCTACCAATAATGTTTCATGTTCATAGATTGATCATGGGGAAGTGGATATCTGAATATGATTTAAAAAAGAAACTACGCCCAAGTAAATGGATCCTAGACCTAATCTGGACCACCTGCAAGTCATCCATGATGACTTTGGGATTCTCAAGCAAGAGCAAACAAAAGTTGACGACATTGACCCACTCTACCGTGAGGCTCAGTTAAGGCTGAGCAAGGAAAAAAGAAGTTGAAAAGGGGATGATAAGATACCGAGGAATTCCGAGAGCCGATCGCTTGGGGATCTTGGGGCTGAATGAGGGAATTTGATATGGAGGGTGCTCTTGGCTGGCTGAAAGACAGTGCGTGCGAGCCACTTTTTCCTTACAGTATCCAGTACTAGTACAGGTTACCCAGTACAGGGGATCTCGGAGTAGCCGACGGTATGCAGCACGGTCGTTGATGATCTGCGTATATATCAATTTTCACGTCTGTTATGTGCCATTTTCTTTCTGCCACTCTACCTCATCTCTCTCCTTTCTCTCTCTCTCTTTCTTTCTTCTTTGTCCCCTTAAGGTAAAATTGAGGACCTTTTTTTTATTTTTATTTTTTTTTTCCCCTCCTTTTCTATTAATTGAACATTATTCCGAAACTAAGAATATTTCCGCCGCCCTTTTTGCTTGGATAATCCACAGCCGCTCCCAATCAGTACGTGTTTCCTTCTCCACATGATCTCGGCGATTTGTAGGCTGCATCGTTCTTCGGTCGCTCTTTCGTTCATTCACCATCACAACTTCACGCCCCTCTGCTGTCTTACATCTCACCTCCGGATTCTTGTCGCCGTTCTTTATATCTGAGACTTATCACGACCCCGCCAGGAATGTCCTACTATCCCCCTTACTCGGGAGCTCCCGGCTATCCCCCGCAGCAACAATATCAATATTCGCAGCCCAACTACGGCGCCCCTCCTCAGTAAGGCTACTTATCACCTTGCGTGCTTATACTTCAGTTGCTTTTAATATCCGCTTGCTTTGAACTTGCTGGTGCTAACTCGATATAGGCCTATGTACCATCAACAGTCGTCCTACGGCGGTGGTTATCCCGGCCAGGCCTATCGTCAGCAACAACCTAGCAACCCATATGGATATGGCCAACCATCTCCTCAGCCATACGGCTCGCATCACAATGGTTACAACGTATGTTCACTACGATGACGTCCGGATTTTTTTCTTTCTTCTTTTCTTTACACATATATGTCCTTTTACCTTATTCGTGTATTTTTCCTTTGCGGATATAAATGGTTGATATGGTTCTTTAGAGCCCGCAGCAGAATTACGGCCCTCCCAGCGGAGGCCATACGTATCAACAACAACCTGGTATGTTTACCCTTGCGTAATGCCTTTTCTTCAAGATTGCTAGCTTATTATTCTGACTGCGCAATAGCCTACCAGAACTCCTACAATCAAGGCAGCCATGGCACCCCGGCCCGTCCGCCCAACCAACCGGTCTCCTTCGGTCAAGGCGCTCCCCAAGAATACGCCTACCGATACTCGGATTGCTCCGGCACGAGAAAGGCTTTGCTGATTGGTATCAATTACTTCAACCAGAAGGGTCAGCTGCGCGGATGTATCAATGATGTCAAGAACATGTCGACGTACTTGAACAAGAACTTTAACTACCCTCTTGAAAATATGGTGCTTCTGACAGACGACCAACAAAACCCAAAGAGTCAGCCAACCAAGGCCAATATTTTGCGGGCCATGCATTGGCTAGTCAAAGACGCTAAACCCAACGATTCCCTCTTTTTCCATTATTCTGGTAAGTCTGTAATGGATCTTTTGCTTTTCAGCCCGCAGTCTGACCGGCAACAGGCCATGGTGGTCAGACACCCGATCTGGATGGCGATGAAGACGATGGATACGACGAAGTCATTTACCCCGTTGATTTCCGGCAAGCGGGCCATATTGTCGACGATGAGATGCACCGGATAATGGTCAACCCCTTGCAGCCGGGCGTCAGATTGACAGCCATCTTCGACTCGTGCCACTCGGGCTCCGCGTTGGATTTACCGTATATCTACTCGACATCAGGTGTCCTCAAGGAGCCCAACCTGGCGAAGGAAGCAGGACAGGGTCTGCTGGGAGTCGTGTCGGCGTACGCACGGGGTGATATGGGCAGCATGGTCTCGACAGCTGTCGGTTTCCTCAAGAAGGCAGCCAAGGGCGACGAGGTGTACGAGCGCAACAAGCAGACCAAGACGAGCGGGGCAGACGTCATAATGTGGTCAGGCAGCAAGGACGATCAGACCAGTTCCGATGCTCAGATTCAGGGACAAGCAACCGGTGCGATGTCATGGGCATTCATCACCGCCCTCCGCAAGAACCCTCAACAGAGCTATGTGCAGCTGCTAAACAGCATTCGGGACGAACTGTCGACCAAGTATACACAGAAGCCGCAGCTCAGCAGCAGTCACCCAGTGGGTAAGTTTAATAGATCCGATCTAACGTAATCACATTCTGACCGGCCATAGATGTGAACCTGCTTTATGTGATGTAAGGATTTGGGCTTATGGATGGTTCTTTAGGCACGGACTTGGCATCGGGATAGTATTGACATTTTACGCGGAAATGCTTTTCTCTTTCAACTTTCTGTTCCTGCTCACTTTTCAAAACTTTCATTGCTTTCTTCCTGAGTGCCTTGTTTGTTTCCTATAATTTTCTTGACAACATTCATTTGCATGGAGTCGGACAGGACACGGGCTTAGTTGGGTCGCATACTGGTATTTTACATGCTTCTAATTCATTTATACAAAACAAATCTGCAGTTGAAAACCATATACAGTGACGCTCGACTAAGTTAAATCCAAACCTTTGCAACACCCCAACAACCATAATATAACTTGGCCTTGTCCAGGCACATGAGATGCCGCTAGCGTCATGTGTGTTTTTATTAGTGTCCTCATTGCGTCGTTCCGGCTTTGCCTCGTCCTGTTTACTACTAGGAATCGATCTTCTAATGTCAGGCTACAAAGTGAAAGCAATGCCCTGGTGATTTAAAAGAGGAAAATCTCAGCAGAGTCTGATTTCCCTCAGATCAAATACACGGAGTCCCACGACGTGGCATGTTATCAGCAGTATCGACGCTCAAAATGCTCACAGTGTCTCCCAACTGTTCGTCCTCGGACAGAGACACAATGGCGTGAAACATGAAAGTCATATATCGCATAGCTACAGCTCGTTGGTTGATTCGTTGGGTGCTAACGAACTAGCATCACGAACAGTGAGTGATTCACAAGACGGTGGACCTTACAAGAGCTTATTGTTCCACCGGACGTCGTATTCTAGACAGCGATTGGAGGAATCTAGGAACTTAGGAAAGCATGGAACAGGCGATCTCTTTCTATACTTGCATTTCCTCCGGCAATATTCACCGGGATGGATGACCTTGACAGCGTTCTCATCGCCCAAGGAGTCCCATGGGCGCCAAAGAGACGAACGCTGGGACTTGAGTATCGTGCATACTTCTTACTAGGGATTCCAGTATTAATATGTCGTTACTCCATGGAGAGAGAAAGATGGCTTTTGTCAAGCTTCAAGAGGAGAAATATGAGGATCTCCGATGTGTGCAGCATTTTTGCTTGGGTTTCTGATAACGAAAGCTATGGCAGCCTTCTAGCGACTACCTGCATATGTTTAAGTGGCAGATAGGAGTAGTTTATAGGTCAGAGTACAGCTCTTCAAGTATCACAAAGGTCTCCTCTGTTATAGATGATATAAACATTAAAGACATCCATTTGAAGCTCTCGTTTCTTGGAATGGGAAGTCGATGCTTAGGGCTTGCTATTCCTGCACCAATCTCGATGAGGAAACAAGGCGAATAGACACATATTTCAGAGATATTTCTCTCATGATGGAGCACTTCGAAAGCATATGGTGCGAAATATTGGAACCACTTGACTTGCAACAGTTTCGGCCATCTCAGCAACAAAGATGCGTTCAACAGAGGCATCTTGCTAATACAAGACCGCGAAAGGCACGACAAATGCACAAAAGGCAATTTATATCGACGGAAAATGCTGCTTTCGAATTAGTTTACTGTTGCATGTCAGGTGCTTACCTGGCCGACGTACTGCAACTTCCACAGAAAACAAGAGTCAAGAGAACTGGAGCGGAATCTTAGGAGAGATGTATATGTCAGATATAACTACTACGGTATATAGGAACATCTGTTTCAACTAAAAGACGAGGGAAATACTAATAGCTGACACCACCCACTGTCATACGCAGTGAGAGAGGTGTATAGATTGGTCGCCTTAATACTATCTTCACTCGTCATAAAACGGGCTAACTTGTTGTGTATTAGTTGATTACATAAGGAGCAGCTATCAGCAATGGCCTCAGGTATATAGGCAACATTCTTTACAGACTGCTCTGTACACTCCCTGCTTTTTCGGTGAGGCATTTGAGGGGTCCTAGAAATATACTTAATATGTCTGCAGGGAACTCATGATTTGAAATTGCTATTAGAGTACCTGGCCTACGTTGTTTCTTTTGGACCATGGTGCCTGGACCAGGAGCATAGCAGCATGAATAAACAATGAAGGGATGCATCGCGTTATCCCACAGCTACTGTACCTAGCAAATCGGTTGAACCCACCATCTCGCGCAGCTTCTATTAGCTGATGCAATTGGCCATGCATCCCCACCGAGTAGATCGGCGGACTGGCCAGGTGTACTCAGAGAGGACCTCAACTCGGGCTGGGGCTTACTCCAAAGGTCCGTCTTGGGTCCATGAGACGCCCTTTCTTCCTAGAGGCTGGGAGGAAACAAGTGAAATTGGAGCACCCACACTGAAGCACTCAGCAATGAGGCAAGTTCTATCAGATCAAAGGAATCTGACTCCACAGTTGTTTGCGAATATACCATGGCCGATTGCCAGTTATCTATGGGACTGCCTTGGGAGAAGGTAAGCCACCTTGTCGGGTCTGGAAATCGAAAATTACATTCATGCTAAATCACCGGGTAAACACAGTCGCAAACGAACCCTCTACATGTGGAAACTGTTGGCAACCGCGTACCCGGTCGAATTCCGGCAAACCTCCCAGTACCGGTCAATGAAGATCGAAGGGCCCAGACTGGCTATGCGAGACTATCTGGAGCTGGTGAAGAGCGATTCCCTGAAATGGCAGTTGGTGCTAAATTTGGCTACTTCGTTCGCCAGAGTGCCTGAGCTAGTGGGCATATCTAACATCAGGAACCTTGCTGCATTGGAAGTTGCCACGCCTCCACATGTTGAAACCCCTGAATACGATACTGAGACGCCCGTGATGGCGCTAAGTGATCGTATCATCCGAAGTTGGAGTGAGCTAGCGCACACCTCGGGTGCATTCTCACACCTTCGAGTTCTCAAATTATGTCATCAGGACCTGTCGGGTGTTGTATTGCGTTATCTGCGCACGTTCCCATCCTTGCAAGTCATTGTTGCGTATGGCTGTCCAGGTATCCACTCCATGTTCATGGATGGCTTGGAGATAGACGGATGGGAGTCTCGACCGGGTCAAGAAGATAAGCCACCGGCACTCTACGAATTATATCAAACTAGCCTTGCCAATATGGACGGAGAACCACCTGCTTTGGACCAGGGGAGTCCGATTCTGGATTTCCAGATAGGCCAGACTATTCAAGAATCCACAAGAGTGCCCACAATCGCAAAAAGTCTATATTTACATCGCACGAAGGCGGCAAATCGGGTACCCACCGAGAACTCGGCACTACATAAACCGACGAAGAGGCCTAGGGAAGAGGTCTCGGCCTCCGGTGAACGTCAGAGGCGGTCGGGGCCGAAGAGGGCTGTTATGAGAGACCGCAAAGCCAAGGACCTCGGAGAAATCTTGGGGAATTTCCTGTAAGCGAGCGGCCTGCAGGAGTGTGGGAGGCCAGAAGTGGGCTTATATGCAAACGTCACTGCAGGCGGGATTGGCACGGGTCACAATGATTGGCCATTGATCCTTGAGGGAATGTTCTACGTAAAGAAAATCGAAGTACGAGGGTAACGAACCATGGGGTTAGAAGCAACAAGTACAAGTAAGTTAGTAACAGAGGCATTGTTCGTATGATGGATTCTCGTATGACGCCATGGCCACCTGACGCTGATTGGCCGCCGCCGCCCACCAACCAAACATCGTCAATTCCCCGCAACCCCGTGATTGGCATCGATCATGCTCTCGCAACAGGCGATAGCTGTGCAGATAACCTGATCAGTAGCTTCTATTCTATATATGTGGATTTTATGTGAATTTACTGTATTTCACGCTAGTGAACTCACACAATATCCAACCCAAACTTCTCCTTCAACACGGACATCATCTCAGGGGAAACTCCCGAAACGCCATCGCCCGGTTCAACCATGACGGACCACCAGCCAGGTGAACCGGTTGCAGACAATTCCAGTGGATCGAACGTTGAATCTCCTCGATCCAGCACGGATTCTCGCTCTCCATCTACGCACAGTCAGTCCCTACGACTCTCGCACGTCTCTCCCAACCATCAGCACCGTCACAGCCTCAGTGAAAGTCTGCGCGGGGCTCCAAATTCCCCACGTAGCCGTCGGCAGCCGTCACTCACACAGGCTGCAATCCAAAGTCTGATCGACAACCCACCGGCTCCCAACCATGTAAACCCTGCCTTTGTAGGTCGCGACTGGAGGGGAATTTCGATCGGCGAGCTGGTTAGCCCGAACGATTTGAGGTTTGTGGAGATTGATACGGGCATTGAGGATGCGACTAATGTGAGTTGCAATGCATGAGTGGGAGTAAAGAAGTGGGATCGAGGTTTGACAACTACTAGGTCTTGATTGATTCCGATGCTCCTGTACTTTTGATTCGCGAGACTCCTGAACACAAGACTGCTGTCGGCACTTTCGATTACTCGGATCTAAATGCTTACCTTCTCCTCGCCGCGGGTCTGACACAACCCGATGAGCATACTCGTGCTTCTTATGATGAACTGGCCCGAAAGGCCAAAGAAGGAATCAAGATACCATTGAAAGACGTAAAGGACCTCGGCAGGAAAGAACCATTGACGACGCTTCCGGCGTCAGCCAGCGTGATGACAGCTGTAGAGACATTTGGAGGAGGCGTTCATCGGGTGGTTGTGGTCGACGAGCGTAGGCAAAATGAGGTAGTGGGCATTTTCAGCCAATTCCGACTGGTCAAGTTTCTGTGGGAAAATGGGCGCAGCTTTCCTGTGATTGATCAGCTGTATCCGCAGGCGCTGCGGGATTTGAAAATAGGATCTCGGGAGGTGATCTCCATCAAGTAGGTCTACTTCTCGATGTACAAGTTAGTCAGTCTAACGTGTGTATAGCGGAGACAAGCCTCTATCGGAGGCATTGCATCTCATGAACAATGAGGGCATCACGTCGGTCGCTGTGGTGGATAACCATACCAATGTGGTGGGCAATATATCCCTCACGGACGTTAAGGTATGAACTAGGCATGGCTGGCGAAGAGACGGTAGGGCTAACCGAACGAACAGCTCCTGACGCGCTCATCGTCGCTTCCACTCCTCCACAATACATGTACTCATTTCATCTCCGTGATTCTTTCCACACGGGGTCTAGTGGATGGCAAGGATTCATTCCCAGTGTTTCATGTGAATCCTGGATCGACGTTGGCTCATACCGTTGCCAAGGTAGTAGCCACTAGATCCCACCGGTGAGTCTGCTGCATGGCCCCTACGAAGCTAGCTCTTGTTAATTGACTGAGATAGACTATGGATCACCGATCCGTTGTCTCCTTCCTCATCGGGACCACCGACTCCATCCCACTCGGCCGTGCATCTCCCTCTGCCTACTAACTCCGGGAACACGCATTCACCTCCGTCACCTACTCACGCGCCGTCCATCCCAGCTTCTGCTCTTCCGGGGGCACGGCTTTCCGGACGACTGGTTGGGGTGGTCAGCCTCACAGATATATTGAATCTGCACGCGCGGGCCAGCGGGCTAAGCCCGGCCGATCCGGCGGAAAGCCGTAGCCGCCGGCGACGCAGCAGCAGTTCGAGCCTCAGCGTGCGACGCAGTGGAGAGATAGGGCGAGAGTTATTCAGTCGGTAGCGCTGGATCGGTCGATTGGGACGAGGATCCAGGCACATCGACAACCACATTCGTTCTTTGGAAGACACTTACTAAATCCCTCATCAATTTCCCGAAATGAATTACAGGCGTACGTACGGAATAGGGCTAGTGCATTGAGTTAGAAGAAACTCCAAATTCAAGAGATCCATACCTACAAACACACACATTCAGCGACCCACAATGCAATCCACAGTATGAACCCTTAACGACTCAATGTCCGACTCTACCCATCCCAACCTGACTCAACCATGAACAGAATGATCGGCAAGAATCGGCCAGCCCGAAAGGTTCCCAAACGTCAAGCATGTTCCCTCCACACCCCAATCAGATCCCGGAGTCCATCAGATACCATGGATCCAAGATCTGAAATCCCCCACCCACCGATCCCCCAAACAGCAACCTCAGTCTCCATTAGCACCCTGGCCACCAGTATATCACAGCACGACCTCACCAACTCAATTCCCAAAAAGTCCCAGCCAAACTCCAACCAATCCAACAGCTGAAGATGAATACCGAGATAACTCCACTTTGAAACCTAATCTCACCTGGCGACTGTGCTCTTCCACCCCGCTGCGGAACCGAACTTGCAATAAGGGAGATATGAGTGGTCTGGGGAAGTGGCAAAGTGTGCTCGAGCCATGGGCTGGCGATTCGCAATGTGTTTCTGTTTCGGGCTAATGTTACTGTGGGGGGCAGGAGGGGCATGTGTACCGAAGTTATGAGTACTAGTTCTATTTTGAAGGACTCTTCTTTTTTTTTTTTTTTTTTT